GATGGACTCATGGGTTTGGAAAGCCCTGCTCTCAACTACATATATCAAATTAAAGGCCGACCATCCTGGGCTCAAGCTGGTTCCTATTTATAGGACGTGGCCCTCAGAGAGTCTTTCTGATGGGCCACGAGCTTCAGGCTTCTTGCAGTGTTGGGGCGAGAATAACCAGTAATATATGTAGAGCACCTGACCCTCAGCAGCCCCGCGATAAATGGTAGCTATTCGTCTCTTAAATAATGCTGATCATAAATCTTGGGAAATGAAGGCTTCCAGTCAACTGGGTCCAGTTCCATCATCCCACATGAGCCCACAAAGGCACAAACAGACCTTAAATGACAAAGGGCAAGATTCCAGCAGCCCAGGACCCTTGGCCCTCCACCACCCCATCCCCAGTCCTGCCTGAGCCCTCCTTGGGCTTCCGGTGATCTGTCCTTTCCTCCTGAGGGGGTCTGAAGCTGCAGGCTCTTACTATCTCCAGCCCGACTCAGGGATCCGCGGACAGCCAGGCACGTGGGTTCTCAAGTGTGACCTGCAGCCCCTGCACCCGACCCGCTCCAAATTTTGGCTGGATGCGCTGACTTTCCCTGAATCCTAATCACCAGGGACAGGGTCCAGAAACTGCATTTTAATAAGCTCCTTGGGTCATTCTTGGGCATATTTAGTCAAGGGACTAATCAGGGCTCATCTTCAAGGCCCCTGGATACTGGTGTGACCTCAGGGAGCAGAGCTAACCCTTCTCTCCGAAGATGCCACTCTGTTCCTCACTTGATCCCCAAATTCCCTTAATTAAACCAGGCTGCCCTGAATGCTTAGCAAAGGCAGAAACAACGTCAAGGAAAAACTCACACCTGAGGCTCACAGACGTGTGGGCCACTCAGGCCTCTCTGGTGACATGGAGTCAATCCTCCCTGCCAGGAGATATCTGGGTTGTGTTGTCACCAAGGGCAAGAAAGCAGGGGGTGGGGGGAACACCTTCCAGGTACGGAGCCCAGTCCAGTCACTGAAGGCTGGAGCTGGCTTTCCCTAGCTGGGATGTTTTTGATGGTCATCAAAGGCCACCGTTGTTAAAACTGAGATTATTATAAACTTACAGTGAAATACATTATATTGAAAACAAAGGTAATCAATACTCAAAACTTGTCACTTCCTCATCGTTTCTCCACAGTTTACAATTACCTTCGTTCTCATGGTTCTTTACCTCTGAGCGGCTGTGAGTGGCCGTGCCTCCCTCCCAGGGCCACACACAGCCCCTCACGGTGGCAACTTGCAAAAGGCCGTGGTGGGAGCCCTTGCACCAGGGAAGCCAGCCGACAGTCCACCTCGGGGCTGGGCGTTGTGACTCTGCTGGCCGATCCAAGCAAGAAAGTGACGGAGAAAACACGAACAATGCGGATGAAACCCGGTCATGTGCCTGTGGCTGCCGCTGTTCTGGGACGAACAGCACAGACCTCCAGAGAATGTTCTCCCAGTGCAGGAGAAAGGTCATCTGATGGAGCTAAGCCCCTCCCATTACTGGACGAGTGAAGTTCAGAAGGGACTGTTGCTTCCCGTTGGTTCTACTCTTTAAAGTCAGCGCAAATGGCAAGCCTTGTTCCTTTCCAAGCTGGCCGGATTCGTGGAGGGTAACCACAGGTTTGTTATGTTTAGCAAAAAGCACAGAAATTTGGTGAGAGCCAATTGGCTACCTGGAACTTAGAGTACTGTGTATCTTATTTGTGATTGTGTCTGCTCTACGTCTTTTATTTCAGTATTTATCATGAGCTTCCATATGTATGTTCGCAGACATTTTTCCCTGGAGGGGCCATTGGAATGTTCTCTGGCCGTGACCGCTCTCAGGGCACACATGAATGAAGGGCTGGCAGGACAGGACGCAGCTTTAAAATGGCGATGAGCATCTTCTTTCGATCCTGCCATTGTCTGTCTGTCTAAGCCCAGTGGGAGAGAATGCCAGAAGGTGACATTTGGGGCCTCCCGGGAGTGTGAGTGGAAGGCCCTGAGCAAAGACAACCTGGTCCAGGCCCTTTGGCCTCCCACAGTCACGGGGTGGAATCGGACACCCAGAGCCTGGGGATGAGCAAAGGCCAGCAGGACCCCACGTGCCCGAGGGTACGGGGACACCTGTGTCCAGGGGTGCACACCCGGGCTGCGCCGGCCAAGACAACAGGGGGTGTCACCCTCCCCAGACCTATGTGCTGGTAACTCTGCAACTCATTTCTACTTTTTCCTAACTCCTCTTTAAGGAATCTCCTAGTTTCCTCAGGGAATGGGTAGTCCTAGTGGGGAGGTGGTGGTAACCAGAACTCAGGGCACTCGGGGTGGCTGGATTTCATGGGTCTTTTATGCTAAGGCTCTTTGTTCCCAACCCTTGTGTACCTTCTGCTTTCCAAGAATGTGGTGGCAACTAGCTAATTTTGCAAGAGATACGTGGGAACTCTTGAGCTCACCTATTCCTCCTTGGTCATTCTAGAAGGGAAGACCCAAGCCTGGAGAGGGCAAGAAACTGCCCCGGACCACGGAGCAAGTTGATGGCAGAGCCAGCCCCACAACCTTAGTGCCTGCTCACAGACTAAGCAGACTTTCCACCACCACCCCTGCTCTGGCCAAATCCAGACCAGCTTGTGCCCAGAGCAGAGGGAAGTGTGGGGCATGGGAATGCCCCATCCCCCTGTCCCCAGGACTCTGAGCAGGGCTGCCCTCCCCGCCCCTCAGCTCGGGCACAGCCCTGTTACCTGCTCCTATCACCACGGCATCGTATTCAGGCTTCAGGCGTCCCTTGGCTCCCCAGTGAGCTCGCCTCCAAGCCGGGCAGGGAGGAGCACCCAAGGCCCTGCTGAGACCTGGGCCCCTTGCAGCCATTCCTGCCCAGCACAAGGCCAGAAATTTGCTTCCAGTCAGCTTTTGTGTGACTCAGGCAGGGGGAGGGCCAGAGCAAACCGGAGGAGAGGAGGAGCTGCTGTACTTGGCTTTGGGCCATGAGGACAGGCAGCTCACAGAGTCCACACGGGGCAGAGTCTCAGGAGGCCGCCAGTTCACTAGGCGTAAGTCGGGTCCCCTCCAGGCCACAGAGGACAGCCACTGTGCTGGTCGCTCTAGGGCTCCCACATGCGAGGCATTATGCTCATGGGGGCCCCAAAACTCCCATTTCAAGGATGAGGGCCACTGAGGCTCGGAGAAGGGAGAGGGGAGGTCAGGCAGCCTGTGAGCATGCTGGAGGGGCCCCCTTCTGCAGCTCTGTCCTGCCTCTTATCAGGAATTTTACTGTCGGGGGTGTGCAGGGAGCAAATCCCGAGGACATACTGGTCAGACGCTGTACTAGCTCCCCATCGTTCCACCAGCAGGACAGTGAGCGGCTCTATACCCCACAGGGTTGCCATGACTGGGGCCTCTGCAAAACTATGGGGTGGGGGGAGACACATCTGTCGCTGTGGCCCCCAGAGAGCTGCTCGTGCTCCCCCAGACCCTGAAGCACCTTGCACTCAAGAGGCCGTGGGAGATTGCAAGGTCTGGGGAACCTGGGGTACGCTGCCTTCTTTTGAAGGCCTAGACATCTCTCTTCTGACTTTTGGCACCTTTCCCATTTCCTCAGGATGCTCAAGGATTAAAGATCACATCTGCAAGTATCTTCAGCTACCACACTTTCTTGCCATCCTCCAGCCTGCCTTGAATTAGCAGCCCTTTTGTTTTCTACCCATTAGCTAGCAGGCCATTCCTCTTGTTGGAGGAAAAAAGCACCCAAGAGTTGAGTTTCTGTGGTGCCATGACATCTGTCCATGTTCTAGAAATCTGCCATTAGAAAGGCACCTTAACACTGGGAGAGTATGCAGAGAGTACCCGCGTCCGAGCGGGAGAGCCTTCCGCGGACCCTCCTACTGGGGACCGAGACACCCCGTGCACGCCAGGGTTGCACTGTGTGAATCTGTGCTAGAGTCTGAGGCAGGGTGTTCGCCCCGGTGTCACAGCATTGAAGAACTGGGGGGATTGGCTCAACTAGACATGTCAATATTATGCAGGTACTAAAAATTAAGGGACAATACTAGGTGACAGAATACTAGAGTACTAGAGTACTAGGTGACAGAAGCGGCAGTGGGCCTCTAGACTTACTCCCCCCCTCCTTTGTGCTCTCCTGTGTTTTTCCCAATTGAAGTTAAATTTCCATTGGTAAAGTCAAGATATTAAGGGGCAATGCAGTCTCAGTAACCTCAGGTGACTGCCCCTCACTGCCACCTCTGAGGACATTTGTGTGAGGTGTGGTTCTGCCCCCTTTCACCCCCACCAGCTCTTTCCTTAACAGGAAAGAAGAGTCTTTGCTTGAATTTTGGCTCAAGACTGAAGACACGGAAGGCCCGGCTGCGGTCAGCAGTCAGGAACACTGCCCAGCCCCCCAGCCCCCCCGCCCCCCCGACGCCGGCATGGTGCTTCTCTCCTCCCCGCGGTAATGTGCCCCAGTCCCAGGGCTCAGGTGCTCTCCTGTCCTGGGGTGGGAGCTTCCAGGTGACAGGAGAGGGGCCGCCCCCCTCAGGCAGCAGTTCTCAACCCAGGGCACACAGGGATGGGCTGGGGAGTTTTTATAAACCTCTGCCTGGGATGCAGAGGACCGAGTGACACGAGAGACACGACTCTCTGAGGTGGGGCTGAGGCAGGAGGCCGGATGGAGTGGGGTGTGAAGGGGCCAGGACTTCTGCGCTCCAGGAAGAGCCCAGGAGACCAGGCATGTTCGGCTGGAACAGCAACGACCACAGCGGGCGTTTATTGAGCTCACACCGCGGGCCGGGCCGCCCTCCCAGCCATGCTGAGAGGTTGGTGCCAGCCCTCCGAAGGCGGGGAACGGGGTGCAGGTGTGGGAGACCCGCCCTGAGCTGCAGAGAGGAAGGGCACAGCAGGAACTCCCATCCAGCCAAGGCAGCACCCTGCATTTGGGGAGGGAACCAGCTTCCTGAGGAAGCTCTTTCTCCACTCCAAGGAGCCTAAAGAAGGGATCTTCGGACACCTGCAGGCACTGGGGATTCCCTGTCTCCTGGGGATAAAGGGAGAGGCAGCTCTGAAAGCAGGTGCCCCAGGTCTACCCTCACAGCCACTGTTGTTTTAAGGAGAACAAGGGACCCTTCCCACCTCCCTCCTCCTCCAAAGAGAATTTGGGGGTTTGGTACCTGGAAGGGAGCCTAGTCTAGGTGGTTTCTTTAAGAGACCCAGGGGGCTGTTCCACCCCTGGTGGCTTTTCTGCATGGGGACCAGGGGTGCACATCCGGGCTGCGCCGGCCTAGAGCACAGGGAGGCGGGAGGTCTCCCACAGGCGCCGGGCCAGCTCGCCGGCCTGCTGTACCAGCACGTCCGTAGGGATGACCGACAGGTGGAGGGTCAGCAGCTCATGGCACTTGACGGCCTCAGCGGGGTGTCCCTTGCTATAGTAGCGCAGGAGCTTCCTGGAGAAAGGGGGGACAGGACTCAGGAACGAGGCCACAGCAGCCTTCCTCGACACAGGCATCCCCGTACCCTCTGGCCCAGCATGGGCACTGTCACCTGGCGAGGCCCCAGCACCTGGCCAGTGAAGCCTTCCCACCCAACTGCACGAGGCATGGCCCCGGGGCCGCATACTCCACCCCTCTGGGTTCCCAGTCCTGCGCAGGGACTGCCGACGGCTATGTCCGAGCCACGGGAAGCCACAGAGCCGGTGGGGAAGGCTGAGGGCCCAGCACGGACGCCGGTGGGACGCGAGCGGCCAGAGACGGGTAGAAACCGGGTGTGCGCCCACCCACCCTCTCTCGCTGAACACGGGGCTGGGCAGCAAAGAGCTCCCACTGAGGGCTTCCTGGGGGGCTTTCCTGAAGGATGAGCTGCTCCTCAGTGGGGGAGGGGCACTCGTCGGGGTGCCCCCTGTTCCCTGCAGCCTTGTGAACCGCGGTCACCTGTAGTAGTCTCCTCCCAGCACGCCGAAGGACGCGGAGTCATCCGAGAGGACGGGCACCTCTATCAGCTGCAGTTTGTACCCCTGTGGGAGAGGAGGCTCTTACACGGGGCGGTGGTGGTGTGCTGCAGAGATCACGAGCCTGAGTCGGACACAAAGTTCAAGGCCTGGCTCAGCCCGCGTGGTGGCTGCCTGCTGCTTGGGCCTCTTCCTACCTCGTTTTCACATCTCAACTGTGAAGTGGGACTAAGAGTAACCTCCCAGCGGATACTGAGATGACGTATGTCAAGTTCTGAGTGCCTGGCCGGTGCATGTGGGGAGGCTCTCACTCCCCTCAGTGCGCGGACCTGAGTCAGGGACCCGCACGAGCTCGGGACAGCTGCCGGGAGCGTGACCCTGGGAGGTGGCCTTGCAGGGTTTTGAAGGGCTGGGCATTATCAAAAGGCCCAAGTCTGTGCTGTGAAAGTGACCACAGTCTCCAGGGCAGGATGAGGAGGAGAAGGGAGCACCTGGGGGGCTCAGTCATTAAGCATCTGCCTTCGGCTCAGGTCATGATCCCAGGGTCCTGGAATTAAGCCCCACATCGGGCTCCCTGCTCAGTGAGGACTCTGCTTCTCCCTCTGCACCCCCACCCCCATTTATGCTCTCTTGCTCTGCTCTCTCTCACTCTGCTCTCTCTCAAACAAATAAATATAATCTTAAAAAAAGGATAAGGAGGAGAAGGGAATTAAGATGCACTGGGCAGCCACTGTGTGTTGGGCACGATCATGGGATCGTCTCCACGCTCACGTGGGCACCGTGGGGCTCGTCCTGCAGGCGAGGAGGTGTGCTCAGAGTGCCTGGTGGCTGCCCAGGATGGCACAGGTGCAGGCAGCCTCCACAGCTGGCTCTGCCCCCCACAGCCCTACTTCAGTCTGTCCCTCCGTCGGGCCAGCCACACACACAGAAGCTAAGGTAAAGGGTGTACACACACCCCAGGCTTGGAGCACAGATGGGAGCCTGTTGGCCAGGAGAGCTGAGCTTGGGTTCCGGCTGTTTCATTTATGACCTTGGTGGCCCTGACCATGGAGTCTGATCTCCATGCATCAGTGTCTCTCTCTGTAAAATGGAGCTAATAACACCCACCCCAACCATAGCACGGGCTCGGGGGACGGGAGGTTGTGAGAGACCCAGGAAGGAGCCTGCACTCTCGAAGGTGCTGGCTGTCACTCCTGTGGCAGAGTGAAGAAGGGCTGGTGCCAGGAGTGGGAGAGGGCAGGGTCCAGTGGGGGTGGAGGGGGCATGAGCGGCAGAAGGAATAGAGAGAGCTGGAACACTGACTCCAAGTGACAAGTGAGGAGATACCAAAGAGAAACAGGAAAGAAAGAGAAGAGAGAGAGAGAAATAGTCCTGTGCTTACACTGGGGTAACTGTGAGGGCTAGAGAGGGAAGTATTGGGCCAGGAGGCCGGACTGTCCTCTTCACCTTGGGCAGGTTGCTTAACTGCTCTGAACCTCGGTTTATCTGAACCTCAGGCCTTTCCAGCGGGAGCGACAGCGTGCCATGCTCTGTAAGGGCGGCCGGCCACACAGAAGCATGCGTGAGGAGCCATTCTCACCGGGCACGCATCCATGTGTGCATGTGCGACCTGGACGCTGCCTTGAGTGACAGCATGAGTCGTTCAGACAGCTGCTGGAGGGTCACACAGCGCCCCTGAACATGGGACCTCTGAGGTCTGGGTCCCAGCGGCTGTGGCTCCCTGTTAGCTCCACTAGGGACGAGAAGAGATGAAGAGACAGACTGAACACAGTGCAGAAGGAAGGGATCCCGGAGTGAGCAGAGAGGAAAGCATTTCAGGATGGTCCTGTCCCGGGACCTGGCTGCACCCACCATCTCGTTCTCGAACCACAGGAAGTAGGAGAAGCAGAAGTCGCCCTCCCGGAAGAGCAGTGTGGTGTAGCCTTTCTGCAGGTATCTGCGTGCCAGCCGGATCAGAGCCCAGACCTGGGGGACAGGGGGACAACGTGCTCGTGGCAGCCCCGACAGCCTCCCAGGGCCTGCGGGGTTGGCTCTCTCCTCACAGCAGGCCCTGGGCTCAGGCTCCTGCCGCGGGAAGAAAAGCACTCGGAGGAGGAGCTTCTGGAAGGCCAGCGCTGCTCTGGCTCGCCTGTTTCCTTAGTGCAGAGGCATGGCCTAGATCAGAGTGCGAGCTCAGAAACAAATCATTATCAGGTGGGTGGGTGGACTACCTGCCCCCCCCTTACTACGACAATAAAATATACATAAAAATACTTCACTTAACTTTACCATGCACAGAAGCCACAAATTAGTAAACTGATCATTCAGCCCAGAAAACAGCCAAGCATGTGGTTAGTTAACAGGAGATGAGGGTGTGGCCACCTGGAAACCCTTCCTGCTGTCCAGGGCCACCTGCCCACCTGGTCCCCTCCAGGGCCGGGCATCTGGCATAGCTTCTACACCAGGAAGGTGCTGCGGGGCATGTGAACACAGAGGAGCCCAAGCCAGGCATGTCCTCTGCTCCAGGGTAAAGTCCCAGCCAGGGCTCACCAAGAGGTCCGACAGAAACACAGTGACCAAGGGACCATGTGCGGTGGATCCCCTGGGTGACATTCTCTTGCCTAATCAAGGACTTCCCGGTGCTACCTGTGACCTGCCCAAGGGAGGACAGCAGGGACAGCCTGACTCCTCCATTTCCCGGGCTGGAAAAGGTCTGATGAGCTCTTGCACCAAAGAGCTTTGTGGAAGGCATGCATGATTCACAGCCAACCTGACCACAGCATCATGTCTAATTACATCTGCAAATACGTCTGCGGATTTGCTGTATTTTCAGGAAAGCAATCTGACAATGTGTATCAATAACCTTGGAAACATTCCTCCCATTTGACTTAGTAATTCCATTTCTGGGAATCCATACTGAGAAAATAATCAGATGAGGACAAAGATGGATGCACGAAAGTATGTGCTGCAGAATTATTTATGACTGCGAGAGCCTGGAAACACTCTAACTGTCCAACATTGGGGAAATGGCTAAGGAAATTATGTTACAGCCACATGATGGACTATTGTGGACTTGTTAAAAATCACGTTGATAAAGAATTAATGACATGAGGAAATGCATCAGATAGAAAGCGAAAACGTGGGTAAACACAATTGCACCTACAGAATGATCCATGACTATGACTGATGGCAAAAAACCGCACAGAAAAACAATGCAAAGAAATGCAGCCAGAGAACTGCAAGGATCTCCCGACAGATGGCTGGGAGGCCGGTACCAGCAACTGTTTCCTGAGTTCTCTTTTCTGTGCCACGTACCAAGCTCTCACGCATCTGTAATCATTGCCACGCGTGGACGTCAACAGTGTCAGTAGCCTCCTTCACAGATGAGCGCACGGACACTCAGACCACGTAATGCCCCGGGCCACAAGGCCAGGGAAAGGCAGAGCCCAACCCACCTTATGTCTTCCTCCTGACTTTACCTATTAGCATATGCTTTATCGAGATGAACCTATCTAATTTATATTTATACCATGTTACCTACTATATAGAAATACACTAGTTTGCCACGAAAGAGTCTGTTAAAGAGAATACAAGAACCCCCAGAGAATGTTTCTTTAGTGCGAACCACCTAGTGTTAAATCCTGTATCCAAACTGAACGACCTTGCGTTTCTTCTTTCCATTTGAATTCATTCAACAAATACTATTGGGATTTATTTATGCCAAGCACAATGTCAGGGCCTGGCCGCTGCCCCAGTTGACCTCACTGCCCAGACATGCTCCTTCGGGCACATTAGAAGACACCCAGGAAGGTGCCCCCCACACCGACTGAGGCCCATGTGGCCCTGGGTGCCAAGGGTGGAAGCCTGAAGACCAGCTGGGTGCAGACACCGACAGAAGAGTACAGTAAGGGTTAAGGTGGGGTGGGCCCAAGGCCTCAGGGGAGCCCCTGGGGGGGTGGGGCATCAGTCTTTTCTGGATAGGGGTCAGGCCAGCACATCTTGTCTGACAGCGGTGAAGAGTTACCCGGGCCAGGCAATGGTTACCTTGGTTCTGATGAACGTGGCCAACGGCCCCCTGCCCAGCTCCGATGAAATCCTTTTACTGCTGCTGAGGGAAGGGGCCACCATCTGGCCAGTCGTGCGATCCACGTAGATGAAATGTACCAAGCCTGGGAAGTCTTCTAGGTAGGTGAAGGTCGGGGTTAAGGTGAAAGCCAGGGACCAAGGCGGGTGTAACTCTGTCCTCCACCTAGGCTTCTGGCAAGGAAAGCAGTGGAGTCCGGAGGCCAGGCCTGCTGTGCCCACCTGTCCCCACAGCTGCCATGCCAGCCAACCCCCTAGGGTCCCTGTTTTCCCAGACTTCTTTACCTCTGAACCCCCAACACTGTGGAATTCTATGAAGCAAGTACAATGGATCCCTTGACACTAGCACATCTAACCTGGGGGTTTCTAGACCCAACAGGCATAGTGAGTGTTCCTATTTTATCATTTTCATGAGGGATGAGTTTACATCACATACACGGTGAGGCTGGTGGGACAGCAGAGCTACCCCTCTGATAAATGAGCCTAGCTGACTGCCTAGCCCACACCCCTAGGCGTGGTTTTGCTCATCTCTCCACACTTCACCTCGTGAAGCTGGAAGGTTCCCACTGGAGAGGGAACAGCCAACATGGCAGGGTGGCGGCTAAAGAGGGCCTCTATTACCCTTTCACCTGCATACTGAGATCTCAACACAGAAAAAGCTGCTTTATATAAAGCTGCAGGGAAAATCAGTATTCGATAGAACTAGTATTCCACAGTAAATGGTCAGACAGGTCTTGGACAGCGGTTTTTAAACGGATAAACATTTTTGGTGCAGGCCTTCTCAGAACCTTCACATCCCACTGTGTTCTGTGACTCCTAAGGAGGACATGGCTTCTCTAACCCACCTGACCCCAGGACCCCTGCCCCTCCTGGAATACCTGTTACCACTTTGCTGGCCAGACAATGTCAACATAAACAATCCCCAAAGCCTTTAGGAAGTCCCTGTGGGACAGCAGGGATTTGGGAACTTTCAGTCCTGGAGCATTCCTACAGACAAGACACCTGTGACAGTATCTCCTATTCTTCAGAGAAAAGATGCTGAGCTGGTGGAACATATCTGTTCCTTCCTGAAAGCCCACACTCCGACAGAGTGGGTAGGTGCGGGGGACAGACGGACACCAGGGGCTCAGGCAGGAGGATATGACACCATGGTGACGTTCCTCCTACTCTTCACCAACAAGAAGTCCTTCCAGTCCATCAGCTTCTCTCTGTCAGGGAAGCAGGGAGGCGGGTGTGGTGTGGCTCCTGGTCCAGCTACGGGGCGGGAGGGGGCACCCACACTTACTGCATGATGGTTTGGACCTGGTCCTGTAGCTGCTGGGGCAGATGGGGGCCCCCCCGGCCTGGAGCCGTGCTCAGGAAGCTGAGACGGTAGATGGCACAAAGCTGTCGCTTCACCTTGCCGCAGGCCTGGAGCAGCCTGATGCCGGGAAAAGAGAGCATGACAGCGGGAAGGGCCCTGGAGGGGGGCTGTCTGCATGTGTGCTGCAGACACACTCCTACAACCCACCGGACTTCATCCTCTGGGTCAGGGTCACCTGACTGGTGATAGACACAGCTGCTGAAGCACACCCTTGCCCTCAGAGATTCAGGAGGAAGCTTCCCGCTTTTCCCCTACCATGGTATGCAGTACTTGGGTGGAAGCTCCTGGAATCTTGCCCCCCCGCCCCCGCCGCAGTTTATTTTACAGGGAAATGAGGGAAAGTGCACCCTTCAGGGCTGAGGCTGGGCAGGAACCTAAGCCCCTACCCCACGTTAAGTCCTCAAGGCCCCCTCCTCCACCTGCAGCCCCCCTGCCTCCCAGCCCCTCTCCAGTATCTGCAGGTGGGACTCTGCTCTCTGGGAAGCCCCTGGCCCTCCTCAGTGCCTTCCTGAGCATCCTTTCCCTCTTGGCCTGGAGGAACCTGCCCCTCTGTCCAAATGACTCCCCCCGCGCCCATCCTCAGAGCCCACCACTCACTCCTGGGATGATCCGGGTTCGCTCCTGGAGAAAGCCTTGCTCTTAAACTCCAGCCAGGTGCTCTGTAGGACACGGGACAGGTTGGCTTCGCGCTGATGGCCCCACAGTGAGGTCTCGGGGGGAAGCCTGTGATGTCGGGCTCTGGGAAGGACCCACACCTCTCATCTGCTTCAGTATTTAGGCTCAGCTGCCCTCACGCAGTCCGAGCCGGCTTTCCGGCAGGTCCCCCAGCTCTCTGCGCCCCACACACCAGTGGGCATTTCTTTAAAGAGCAGTTTCTGTGCGGCAAGCAGGGGCTCACTGCCTAGTGGCACAGACGCGTGAACTAAAGCTGTCGGAGGGACAGGCGAGTGCCCTGAACAGAAGCGGACGTGGGGCAGGCACTGGCGTGTGAAGGTGGGGCCCGGCGAGAGCCGTAAAGGGGGACCGTGCGCCCCACCCCCACGCTCACTGCACAATCTGGGTCCATCTGGGTCTGAGCTTCACTCACTCCCTCCGTCTCCTCCAATCTTTCTTCTCATTTTCAGATGCCCATGTACGGCAGCCACAGTGAATTTTGGGTCCTCGGACCCAAGCACCACCAGCTGCTTCCTAGTGACCTACCCCTCCTGAACTCCTGCTAGGCTCCCGGCAGAGATGGTGTTTCTACCGTCTAGGCCTCTCCCGGTCTCATCTCCCACCTGAGGTGGGGGTGGGCATCCCGCACATCGGCGTGAGCTGCCACACCAGGAGGGATGCCGGGGGCAGGCCGCTGGCCTTCACGGCGGCCTAGAGTCAGGCTCTGGTCCTGCCATCTGCCTGCCAGTAATCTCAGCTCTGGTTTCCTCACATAAAACATAGGAAATTGAACTCGTGTTCTACCAAACTCACATCAAAATGCTCTGGCTCTGAAAATACCGTCACATTTCTGTTATCAGTTCATGATGGGGAAAACAAGGATCATGGGCCCATGATGGGGCTCCCTTCCCCAGTGTGAGCAGAACAGACACTGCCACCCCGGCCCTGCCTCCTCTCCCAGAGGCCACCATACCTGGGACCCAGGTCTCACCTGAATCTCTTGCCCCCTGCGATTCTTGACAAACTTGTCCATCCTCTGACGCAGGTCCCCCATGAGGGGGTGGGACCGCAGAGTGCTCCCGGCCTCTTGCCCCTCCTTGAGCTTCTTCTCCAGCAGGGAAAACCCGTCCAGCAGCTGGTACAGGACGAGAGCCAGGGGGGTGCTGGGGCCCTACGGGAAGCAGCGCAGAGCGTGATGAACAGCGGAAGCCTGCAGAGAGGAGTCCTGGCTGGGGCACTGCTGAGGGAGGTGGGGGTCGTTCCCACCTTGGTCAGGAGCACCATGTTGATGCCTGGCCACAGGGGCAGACAGTATGCAGTGTGGGGCACCATGGGGCAGTGGCTCTCCTTGATGCTGGCATCTAGGAAGATCCTTCTGGGGCCGGAAGCGACTGGGGAGGGTGGGACCAGCACTTGGAGGGTGTCTTCAGCTATCTGTGGAGAAGAAGAGCTGTCTGTGGGAGGGCTCCAGTGGGAGCCACTCAGCCTCTGCCTCATGCACCGACCATGGTCGCCCATTCGCTGTCTTCCCTGTGAACCATGGGGGTAGACACTTTCGCTCCAAGCAACCCAGCTCTTCAACCCCTGTACTCTGTTACCACGGCCCCAGCAGCTCCAGGACCGCTCCTGCTGGTCTCCCTGTGTCCTTGGAGCCATTCAACCCAGAGTCAGGACTGGGTGGCAAGCAGGGGCCGTGGGGAACAGGACCTGGGGAGGGAGGTAGAAAAGAGACTGAAAGGGCAGGAATGGTTGGGGGTTGGGGGAGCTCCCTCCCAGGCCTTCACTGGGGCGAAGGCCTGTCAATAACGCCGTCATTCTACCCATCCTCAGAGCATCCAGACTGCTGGTCTCATGGTGGAAACTGAGGCGTGGGAGGACTAAATGAGCAAGAATCCAGCCTTACTAAATAAGTAAGAAAGGCTGTAGTGGGAAAAAGTAGAGAACTGAGGAAATCACCAGAGATGTCACGAGACCTTGGCACTGCAGTCTTACTGTTCTAGAACAGCCCCAAACCTAGCAACAATGTACTAGTTGTTTGGGAATCCGCTAAAATAAGTAATAGAGGCACGTGACGGACTCTTAACCCTTAAAGACCAGCACGGAGTAAATGGAAAAACGCTTAAGGAAAATAGTGTAATGAAGGACATTAGGATTCAAACGTGGTAAAAGAAAAAAAAAACATGTAGTATGTAAATATACATATACACGTGTATACGTCCATATGTGAACATAAAATCAGAGGGAAGACAGGAGGAAACATCCCAAAATATTAATAGTAATTAATATCTGGACAAAGGATTAAGACTGACTGAGTTATTTTCATTGCTTTTCATACTTTCGTATTTCCCAATTTTTCTACAATGAATATACTTACTTTCTAATTGAGAAAGTCATCACCAATTAAGCTGGACTTTCAGTCCCAACAACAGTGAGGAGGGTGGGAGTCCTCCGGAGTTGAGGTCACCCTTTGCCTACCACCTGCCCCCCTGGCCCCGGCCTCTGGGACGAGCTCTGTCCCTGCACTGACCAGCCCTGAGGTGGCAGCAGGAGGACTGGCCCTGTGTGGAGTTACAGGGAGGAGACACCTTGGAGTCCCCAGGGCCCATCGCAGCATCTCAAATCAGCCGGTGCCTATGGACCCTCCCTCCCCCAGGAGTAGCTCACCTGGACCTGGGGAGCATCCGTGGGTGGGGTGCCCTCATCCAGCCAGACAGTGCTACCTACAGGACACACGGGCCATAAGAGAACATAAATACCATAAACGCCTGAACAATGGCCCAGCAGCGTGTCAGAAGGGGAGGGTGCGGCAGAGAACCTGGCGGGGGCGAGGGCACGTAGCAGGGGCTGGAGCCGCCCTGCCCTGCTCATCGGACCCCAGGCTGGAAGTGCAGGGTGTGCTCTGCAGTCCCCCAGCAGCCTGTGGAAGAGACGCTCCCCGCAAGGCCAGCTGCTGGGTGTGGGCTCCTGACGATGTACCCGGCAGGGGTGAGGTGGGGCATGGCCCTTCTTGGCCCCCATGAATACCCTCTCACTCCTTCCGTTTCTTCCTGTCTACCACAGTGCCTCTTCCCCAGGAGGCAGCACACTTACTCAATCAGCAAACTTCTACTGAGCACCCACTAAGCGCAGGGAACGCAGCGGCCTCCCTTTCCCAGAAAACCTACTGAGCCCACTACGGATCTGAAATATTACCTGTTTGTAATAATACAGTGCTCCCTTATATTTCATTGCAGATAGCTATCATTTGTAATCATGTTTCTCTAGGGAAGCCCATTTCCATGTTCTGAACACCCGATTTACAAATGAACAAGTCTGACTCAAGCCACTTGTAAGTGGTGAGTTCCAGGCGCTGTGAAATGGCATTATTTACAGCTCGGAGGCATAGAAACTAACCACTGAGAAAGAGGCCAGCAGGAAGGTTGTGATGGACGAGGAGAGCGAGTAGTTACAAGAAAAAGGAACTTTGGCGACGACCCCAAAGCGGTGTCTCCTGCTGTGTTCTGGGCTCACGGGGAACTTAGAGACCAGAGGGCAGCTATGGACCCTGGGCCCAGAGGAATGTGCAAGGCTACAGGAGCTGGTGTGGGCTCTGGGGGATCCCAGGCTCCTTGAAGCCCATCCACAGAATTACAGTTAAGAACATCTAACCCACTGGTTTCCAGCTGTGGCTGCACGTGAGACCTTTTGAAAATCCCGATGGCCAGGCCACATTCCAGATCAATTAAGTCCAAATCCCTGGCACTAGCAGGCCTGGTTTCAGTAGTTTTTAAAGACCCCTAAGTAAGCCCACAGTGTAACAGGGCTTCGAACCACTGTGCTAACCTGAATCTGTGCACAGGGCCGGTTCCCACTCTGATGCTCGCCAGGCTCACGGGGCCAGTTTCTAGAAGCATTCACACCTGGGTCCCAGCCCGCAGACTGTACCTTCACCCTGGCTGAAGCCGCCTGGTGGGCTCCCAAGTGCAGCCGGGGTTAAGAACCACTGGCTTAAGGACACCACACAGTAAACTCCTTTCAAAACTCAGTCCCCCGCCTGGGTGGCTCAGTTGGTTAAGCAGCTGCCTTCGGCTCAGGTCATGATCCCAGCGTCCTGGGATCGAGTCCCACATCGGGCTCCTTGCTCGTCAGGGAGCCTGCTTCTCCCTCTGCCTCTGCCTGCCATTCTGTCTGCCTGTGCTCGCTCTCTCTCCCTCTCTCTCTCTGACAAATAAATTAAAAAAAAAAAAACAAAAAAAAAACTCAGTCCCCGAGAAGGGTCTTCTCCTAAAATCCTGGCCTTCCTCTGTTAGGTGATGGGAACCACATGATCCTTCCTTCTCCCTAAGAACTTCAGAGGTAAACATGATGCCCACCCAGAGAGACGGCAACAGTACAGATTCTGGCTTATCTTTGTTCTCGGCAATGTTGTCTATTCATTAGCAAGATTTTGAATGTTTTCCGTTTCTTTTTACTGTTTACCCACTCACATCTTCTGGAAAAAAAAGTAAGGTATAGAAATTAAATATGTACATTTTAAATCATTATACTTGAAATGAAATGATTATTAATTTTAGTTTCTTATTAACTGATTACCAAAAAGGGGCAGAAATTACACCTATGGGAGATGAAATTTTAAATGAAATCTGCTTGTCACACAGAATCATTTCCGGGGCCGCGCTTTCATCCAGGCTGGAGCTGGGGGTGGTGCAGGGCAGCACCCTGCGCTCTGGGAATCCCGGTGTCTGTATCTGGGCTCCCCCCACCCACGCCTGCCGCCTGCCGCTCCTCCCACGTCTCACCTGAGCTCTGCTCTCCGGGGGAAGGAGCAGGCGTGAAGTACTCCTCAGGGAGGGAGAAGCTGTCGGTCTCCTGGAAGGGAGAAGAGGGCATCTTGGGCTGAGGGCTGGGAGAGCCTCTCCTGAGGGGTTCGGTCCTGGTACCCCCACCCCTCCACGCAGCAGGCGCACAGCACATACAGTTGCCGCGGAACTCCTCCTGGCCCGGGCTGTGGAGGCAGGGCTCCGGGCCTGCTGCACGGGGATGCTCTGGCTGCTCCTGGGCTTCCGGGGAGAAGGCTGTCATGGGCAAGGGAAACCTAGTTAGAGCAACTCTGATCTGCTCCTCCCCTCCTCCATCGGATCCCAGCTCTTCCACCCACAGCCCTCCCACCCTGGTGCCTCCCGCCACCATGTGGCCTTGGGTGGGCGTCCTCACTTCCCACTGAGGTTTCAGTTCCAGGTGGCCTAGTCTTTCTCCAGAACCACTGATATGTCCGAACTTCCAACACAGTGGTAACCAAACTGCCACTGACAATGGGGTCAGCGGTGGGCGAGGACAGTGGCTAGCACCCACCAAGCACCCCAGGCATGGCTGGGCTCTAGGTAAGCTGTCCCCTTTACTCCTCCAAACAACCCTTGTCCCAGTGCACAGAAAAGGGAACTGAGGCCTAGAGTGGCAAGGACTCCAAAAATCTGCTCTTTTCACTGACTAAACCACATCATTGTAGAATTCCTGTTACATCTGAAAACAGCAGGGAGTCAAGGCCTATAGCACCCCCGCTGGCCCAGAACTGTGATGCCGAAACATAGCCTCGCCAGGTGGCCCGCCCAGCACACTCCAGCCTGGGTTTGGGAGCTTCCCCGGTGAGCCGGCCCAAGACCTGAGGGTCGTCATCCTCCGCTGTGCTCTCGCTGGGGTAGAGATCCTGGACCAGGAGGATGAGGGCAAGAAGGTCAGCCGGGCGCAGGGAGCTGGCACTGTGGCTGCAGAGAGAGCAGGCGGCTGTCAGTGCACACTGGCGCCCCCTGTAGGTAACAGTGGGCGCGGGGCAGGCAGGTTAAGGGAGTTTGGAGCAAAGTCCCTGCTCTCAAGGAATTTATGAACGTGTCAGCTGGCTTCATCCTTCTTGAAGAAAGGCAAGGTACAAATAAAATTAATCAGTTCGTTAATTTTTGAAATAAAACTTGTTATGTTAAAGAAAAAAAAAAACACCCATGAGAAACCACCGGGGACCAGTTACAGCCCATGGGGAAGTTCTAGAATTCAGATTCAGAGACAGTGTTCCAGGAAGACCTAACTCAGAGAAGGGAATGAGCTGAGAGGGCCAAGAATGAAAGAGTTAAGGAGGCTTCAGGGAAGAGACCCGTCTTGAAGGTCTTCTTGGCTGGGAAGGTGGTGCTTTTTCAGCTGGGGGTTGGGGGAAAGTTAGGGTTCTGGGCCTCTGCTGCCAGGACCAGGGCTCACCTGGAGTAGAAGGCCAGCAGCTTGGAGTGCACGAGCAGAAAGGCGTGCAGGGCCTCCTCGCCGGCCCTCTCGGGGCTGGAGTTGACAGCCTGGATGACATGCCGCTCCAGGGCCTCTATGCACAGCTCACAGAGCTGAGGGTGAATCAGCCGTTCCACAGCCTAGAGGGCAGGGAAAGGAAGCCATGTCACTGACCATCCACCCCTGCTCCAGGGCCGGGCTGGTGGGTCTCCTCACTCCATCCATGCTGAATGCACACTACGGGCCAGACACTAGGGAATAGGGTGACTCGGGTCAGCCTTCCTGGGCATATGGTCCAGTCACTAGACTCTAGGGGGTGAGACAGACAATATGCAAGGAAAGAGACAAGAGAAACGTCAACTCTAGTAAGTGCTGTGTAGGAAACACCTGGTACTGACCAGCACCTACTTGGGTAGGGTGTCCTTGGAAAGTGTCCTTGAGGAAGTGACCTCTAAACTGATCTCTAAAGAACAAGAAATCCTAACAGACAGAGTGGAGGGGGAGAATCCTTAAGCCGAGAAAAGAGCATATGCAAAGGCCCTGAGGTGGGAAAAGTCTGGAGCAGTGCTGTCCAACTAATATAGAAGGAAAGCCCTAGGAATAATTTAAAATTTGCTAGTAGCTACATTTAAAAAGTAGAAAGAAATAGGTGAAATTAATTTTAATGATTTATTTTACCTAATATACTTAAAATCTTATTATTGCAACATACAATATAGAAGCATTATTAATGGCATGTTTGACACTCTGTTTTTATACTAAGTCACCAAAATTCAGAGTATATTCTATATGTGTAGCATAACTCAATTTGGGCAAACTGGACTTCAAATGTTCAATAGCCAAATGTACCTAACGACTACCGAACCTCACAGAATTAAATGTCCAGTGCACCTGAAAGGGAAAGAAGTCCCGGGGGGCCAGGCCACAGTGAGAAAGGGCAGAAGGGCATGAGATGAGGTGGGGGTGAGTCCCACAGTGGCAGGTCATCCAGGGCCTGGTCGGTTCTGGAAGAAGTGTGGATTTTATCTTAACTGCACAGGCCACCTCCTACAAGAAGACTTTCCTGATGTCTCAGAGAGAGCTGACCATGGCATCCCTTGCACCACCATGGATTTGGATGGGAAAGCAATATGGCAGCACCTTGGATGCTTGGTTGTATTTTCAGGCGTATGTGTACAGCTGACTTCCTCTCAAGGGCAGCGACAGTATCTTTACTCTCTGTTCCCAGGGCCTGGCACACTCTTCACATGTAGTAGGAACTGTACATTTCTCAGAGGAGTAAGTGAGCAGCGTGTGCACACGAATCCTTCAGATCTGTTTTCCAGTTCACTAATTCTCTTTCTAGTTATGTCTCATCCACGATTAACCCATCCTTTGAGGTTTTTATTTTAACAATTGTTTTTATTTCTAAAATACCTATATGGGTTCTCAACTAGCTTTAAAGTCTTTAAATATTTCAGAGTTATTTTACGTTCTGGACTGAATAATCCCAGTATATCAAGCTCCTAGGGGTCTAAATCTATTGGTGATTGGTTTTCCTCTCACTCGTGCTGGCTTGTGTCCTGGTGCATCTGTCAGTTGTGAGCTGCTGTTTGCTGCTCCGAACCTGTCCTCTAAGGCAGGAGCTTTCAAAGTGCAGTTCCGGGACCAGCATCATCAGCTCACCAGTGAACTCGTCAGAAATGCAAATTCTAGAATCTCCACACCACCCCCCCCATTGGAAAAGTGAGGCCCCACAACCCTTCTCTCACAAGCCCTCCAGATGATTCGGATGTACCCTGAGGGTGAGAACTGCCCCTAGGGAGGAAATCTGTGTTTGTCTCCACAGGGAGCCAGAAGCGGTACTGCAGGGACCCCCTGAGCTCCTCCGTGGGCGCTTGACCTGGGAGTCTCGGGCTCAGCTCTGCGGCTGCTAAGGGCCTAAGTCAGTGTGCTGGTGGTGGTGTTACCATCATTGCACTCGGGCCATCTTCCCTGTAGGGCTGTTTATTTTTCACTACTTTCCACGCTAGTTTCGGTTCAATATAATTTCTTGGGGAGGATGGGGGCAGTCAGAATGGAGGGAGCTAGCTTCAGAATTTCCATAATTTACTGTGAGCCCCAAATTGTGTTAAAATGTCTGTTTTATTGTAGAGAACCCCACCAGAGCATCTAACCCACCATGCAGCCACAGACAGCAACCTTCTAAAGGTAAGAGTCTGAGGGTCTGTCGTGACCTCACTCGTGATGGGGCAGTGGTGTGTCTCCTCAGCCCTCCGACCTGGCACCCCTGGGGCCTGAGGCCTCCTGTGCCCAGTAGTCACCTCCACGGCGAAGCACTGCTCCTGCTCCCGCAGGCGCCCGTACGTCCACAGCAGGCTCTGGAAGTGCTCCCACACCTGGACTCGCTGCTCAAGGTCAGGGGGCCGCAGCCTGGGGGCGGAGCAGGAGAGACCCTGAGAAAGCTGCCTGTGCCCACCATCCACCAAAGGAGCAGAGTTACCGCCAGGGCTGGGCAGGCTCCTGCCATTCGAGGCAACAAGTGGGAGAGCCCTCCGAGCATGGGAGGGCTGGTCCAGGCGGCGCCGTGGCCCTGGAGTGGGACGGGCACAGAACCGGGAGGCAGGCGCCCGAGTAAACCACTTCACGTCTCGGTTTCCCTCACACACGGACACAGGACACAAAGTCAGCCAGAGTGGACTCACTCCTTTCGGATGAGCTGGCCGTCCACGGTGACCAGCCCGAAGTGCACCTCGAACAGGTACTTGAGCACACACAGCTTCTGCCGCAGGTCGCCCTCGCCCTCCGTGTGGTCTCCGTTGATGGCAATGAAAAGGCATTCTCCAAACTGCGGGCCAAGGGGGCTGGGGTCAGCCAGCCCCGGGGACCCCTCACCTGGCCTGATCCCGAAGGAGAGTGAGGGGAGGCCTAGATCCCCGGGGAATCTGATAGAGTGGTTTCTACTTTCTAAGGGAATCTGAAATTCAAGGGAAAGGCTCATGGACGGCCCGTGGTGATGAGGGAAGAGGAACATGGGCCCCGGGGCTACACACTCACCAGGTGAAGGACGTACAGATAGTTGCCATTTTCCGTCGAAAAGCAGGTGTATGTATCTGAGAGCTTCTCCAGCATGGTCATGGAGGAGATGATGATCGGGGCCAGGAGGGTGCTGAGCTGGTCCTCCAGGGCGGGAAGCTGCAAGACGGAAGAAAGTAACACTGCTTAGAGTGCCAGACCCTGGTGACAAAAGGAATGGACAAGACCCAGGCCTCGCTAGCAAGGGTGTCCCTTGTTTTAGACCTGCCTAGAAGGTACCACCGTCCTGACAGGGAAGCGGGGCAAGAGGAGACTGCCCCCAGCACCCTGGTGGTAGTTAGAAGAGGCTGGGAAGGATCAGCCAGGTACCTGTGCCCTTCTGGCTCTGAATCCAGAAGGAAACATTAAGGACTCAGGCCATCTCCACAGTGCAATGCGGGGGGCATTTAATGGAGAACTGACCAACTCTGAGGAAGTTCCCTACATGTCCCTGAGTCCGTGCTTTTTGTTACACTTGGTCTACCTTGGGGGAACATATCCTAAGGACAACGATCAGGGATAGGGCAAAGGCAAACACACAAAGGTGCTCACTACAGCATAATTTACAGCAGCAAGTGACTGCAAGAACTGGAAATGCCCAGTGCCAGGGAAACAGTTAAATAAGTAACAGCTCAGCTAAATGAAGGAAGAATGTGAAGCAACCTAAAATACTGGAAGTTTCAAGGACATGGAAAATTCCTCTGATGTTACCTTAAAAAAAAAAATCGCTGAGAACAGTATTTTAAAATACATAGAAAAAACAAAGTATTGAAAAATATTTAAAAAGTCAGTGTAACACTGTTAAAGGTATTCCTTCTGGCCGAGAGAGTAGGAGAGACCCCTCCCCCCCAATTTTTTATGCTTCTGTACCGTCCCTATTTCCATAACAAGCCAACCTTCACTTTTACAAGCTCTTCCTCCAGCCATTTTCTCTGCCCTCCAAAATCAGGAGCAAAACAAAGAGAACCAAAGAGAAACTGGACAAAGCTGCTGAAAATCTGCAGATAAAACTGGCATAAAGCCAGCAGAATGGGCACCCCCCCAAACCCTCCTCACTGGAAGGGGAAGAAAGGAGAACAGCTGCCCTTCCCCCCGCTGATCTGGGGAGACTTGACCGAAATATGGAGAGAGCCGAATCCCGACTTTGAGCTTGTGAAATCTGAAAGGAGAAGAGTCTGACATGAGGAAGTGGAGACGCAACGTGGGGACCTTGGGGGGTAGGAAAAGAGTAAATGAAACAAGATGGGATCGGGAGGGAGACAAACCATAAGAGACTCTTAATCTCTCAAAACAAACTGAGGGTGGCCGGGGGAGAGGGGTGTGGAGAGGGTGGTTGGGTGATGGACATTGGGGAGGGTATGTGCTATGGTGAGTGCTGTGAAGTGTGTAAACCTGGCGATTCACAGACCTGTACCCCTGGGGCTAATAATACATTATATGTTTATAAGAAAATAAAAAAAAATTATAAAAAAAAAAAGAAGAAAGGAGAGGAGTAAGACCTTGCCTTGAAAAGAAAAAACACGCACCTAACCAGGGGCAATGAGCAGCATTTACAAACAGAAGCAGGAGGCAGCGCTGCAGGACAGATTTCCTTCCACCTCTGCTCAGGAACAGAGGTGGGTCCCGCTAGCCGTGGCTCCTGGGCCCCAGTTCAGATGGCCCCTTTTCTGACCACCTTGGCCACCCTGCCCCCATCACTTCCCACCCCACATGGTCTAACTTCTTTGGCGCATTTAACATTCCCTGAACTCATGTGTTTCTTTGCACCCCGTTCACTCTTTGTCCTCCCTCTGTAGCCCTAACTTCCACGAGAGCAGGATCCTGTTGCTGTGTTCACTGCTTCACCCCAAGAGGCTGGCGTATAGTAGGTTCTCAATTAATATTGTTGAATGAATATCCTCCACAGAGCCAAACGTTTGTTGAATTACTCATGTGCCACAATTTTCTTGAACTGCCACGAACAGATTATGGTAAGAGAAAGTTGCTTAAAAATCTGGATTATGTACAGCAACTCGTTTTTAAAGGAGTGGCTTTTCCTGCAGGTGTAGTGAGACTTTTTTAAAAAGGTTGGGGAAGACGAAAATACTTGGTGTAGGCAGAGTGCAAAGGAATTACTATTACTTGGAATTATAAAGTGGTGCATTATCTCTGAATGGCTTTTGAATCAACGTTTCTATTAATAGGAAATTATCCGAAGGAAATAATGAGATGTGGGATCAAATTCAAGCATAAATGTTCCCTGCAGCAACAGTTTTAGTCAACGAGAAGCAATATACGTGCCCAGTATGGGAAAAATGGTCGGATAAATGATACATTTATTTATACACTGGGATATAATGCTTCCACTAAGATTTGTGCTTTTGAGAATATTTAACAAAAAAGAATAATGCTTTTGATATAATGGAAAGTGGAAAAACAGAAAATAAAACTGTAAATGTGGTACGATCCCAACTACATATAAAAGATAAAGACCCAAAGGAAATATATAGAAGAGCTAATGGTTCTGGTACTAGAATTATGGGTCATTTAAAAACGAGTTCTCTGTATTTCCAAATTTCCTACAATTAATTCATGTTATTTATAGAATCAGGAAAAAAAATAGCGTTGTGTACATAAAAATAAAACTTTAAAGGCATTTTTTTCTTTACAGTAATCACTTAGGAAGTGAAAAAAAAAATTAGGATTTTGTTCCCTTACGAGGTTTTTAATAAAAAGGAAGATAAACACGATCAGATAACTTGCTTCTTTTGTTTTATTCATTCATTCACCGATATACTGAGTGCCTTTCTGTTCATGTTACGGCAGGTTCTGGGGATACAGAGGTCTATTGACAGCTGGCTTCTTCAGCTAACCTGATTGAAATAGTAGGTTAAGAACGAAAATATTTAAAAATTCTTTAAAAAAAACTATATGCATTGGGGCACCTGGGTGGCTCAGTCGGTTAAGCGTTTGACTCTCGATTTCAGCTCAGATCATGATCTCAGGGTCCCAAGATTGAGCCCCATGTCAGGCTCTGCCTGAGATTCTCTCCATCTTCCTCTCCCTCTGTCCCCTCCCGACTTGCATTCTCTCTCTCTTCAAAAAATAAAAATACTGTATGTATTGACTGCTAAAAATAAAAGAACCTAATAGACCAGTTTTTTAGCTTAAAGGAAACCACTAAAACGTCATGATCTCTGATATCTTTATTCCTAAAGACGGGGACAAGAATAGTGGGGATGTTGGGCAGATTAAGCTGCTGAAGTGGAACTGGCTGAGCGGTGATTACGCCCAGCAGAGCGAGAAGGGGCCAGGCAAGCCACCTGTCGGGGCTGCTGCGGAAGTGCCGGGATGCTCTCTACTGCTTTCCCTGCAAATATGTTTAACTCCATATTCATCTGGAAAAAGTTTTCAAAATAAATCACTCCTTTCAAATGTAGAGTAGAAATTATGAGTGAAAATGAAGACTATCTCCATGCTATAATATTTCAGGATTACCCTGGATGTCTACATGCAGAAGATAAACCTTAATCCATACTTGACATCATATACAAAAATTCAAAGAGGATCATTAGACCTAATATAAAAGCTAAAAAAAAGAGACCTAATATAAAAAAAAGCTTAAAAAAAGCATACACACACACACACACACACACACACACACACACACACACATATATAACTTCTAGAAGAAAATACAGAGAAAACTCTCGGATCTTGGGTTGGACAAAGATTATCAGAATGAAAAACGTCTGCTCTTTACAAAATACTGGTTAACGGATGTGAAGAGAACAAACAGACTGGAAAAAAATATTTGCAAAACACCGAATAAAGGACTTGCACCCAAACTACGTAACACTCTCAAAACTCATTAAGAATAGTAAGAAATAACCTACCCAATAAAAAGACGAGCAAAATGTGAACCAACTTCAACTCAAGAAGACACAGAGGGAAAATAAGTACATGAAATGATGTCAAAATCATCAGCCAACAAGACGTGAAAATTATAACAATGAGACCCAGGAGATGCCTATTAAAATGGCTAAAATTATAAAGACCACAGCAAGTGTTAGCAAGGTTATGGAAGTAGAACTCTCATATGTGAGTAGGGGGCTCTGATGTGCTGCGACCCCTATGGCAAAATCTGGCAGTTTCTTACAAAGTTTCACATGCACCTCCATGATCTACCCCTTCTGTGCTAGGTATTTACCCAAGCAAAGTAAAAAGTGAAGTCCACAGAGAGACCTGCACATGAATGTCCACATCTGCTTTATCGGGAAAAGTCAAAAGCGGGACACAGTTACCATCAACAGGTACCCAGATACACAAGCCATGGCTTGTCGATACCCGACGACCCCCTGCTCAACCATCAGAAGGACGACACTACCGACACACGCTACCACATGGGTAAATCTCAAAATTATGCTGACAGAAAGAAGCTACCCCAAAACCACTTGGAGTAAATACTACATGACTTCATTTACATAAAAACCTACAGAATACAAACTCCTCCATTGGGACTGAAAGCAGACTGGTGATGGCCCAGGCTGGGGGGAGGGTAGGGTGTGGTCACAAACTTCTGTGATGAACAATATGTTTACGTTATTGATTGTGACAGAATCACAGGTGTGTGTGTGTGTGTGTGTGTGTGTGTGTCCGCGAGCGCATGCGCACGCACGTATCTCCAACTGCCCTTTGAGAGCGTTCGGTGTACAGTAAGTCCATTATACCCTAATGTAGGCTTTAAAAGACCGATGGGTTAAGTTTATGCTACATTTTTTAGGGAGAGGAAATGAGGACACCAAATTTCTCTGTTGTGTGATTAAAACTCTACCCCGTCCTCTGGCTCTCGTTTAGCCCGAGGAGCCCTGGTAGAGTAGGGGTGAGGTCACCAACTCGAGAGGACCAAGAGGCCAACTGCTGACGATGAGCAGCTGGGTGTGCAGGAGCCCGGGGGAGGGGCAGGTTCTCCCGCCGCCTGGTACTTCTGGGCTGTTGTTCCCTCCCATGCCCCGCTGGCCCGGCACTCACCTCCTCTCCCTCAAACCCAAACTTCCGCCGTAGACTGTCTGCAAACTCCTCGTCTGTCCAGTAGAAGAGGACCTCTGCACTTTCTGTGGCCACCAAGACACACTTCATCTGCCAGGGAGAAGCAAGGGCAAGGTCACCTCCCAGCCTCTTTATCCAGAAGCTCAGCCTGAGTAAAGAAGCGGATGAGAACCCCAGCCAATACCCACTGAGCCCCCACAGGGCACCAGGCCCCACGGCAGGGGCCTTCCTGCTGTTATTTTGTCACACCCTCAAAACCACCTAAGGATGTAGGAATCTTTAGTTACTCCCACTTTCTACAGCAGGACTCAGCACAGCTCGGAGCCCCTGGGATCAAAAACCAGGCCTAAGGCTGGGGCTCTTGCTTCTGTGTTTTCTCACGCCTCTCACCAGAGCATCAGACGCATACAGGCCTACCTGCACCAAACCTATGGAAGGACCCCGCTCCTGACCAGGACGGAGGATCAACCGCCCAGGAGGACAGGCAGTGTGGTGGCTCGTGGCCGTCGGTGCCTGGTCTAGATGGAGGGAGGCTAGCGCACCTCCCTTCGGGCAGTTCAGAAATGTGTTTCTCCCCAAGGCAAAAACAGCTCCAGAAGACAAGCTTCAAAGCCCCCAGGAGTGGGTTCAGCATGACATAACTTCCTTTGTGAGCTCCTTCTGCTCTGGGGGGAAACAGGCTGCCTAACCTTGTCCACAGCTCATTCTCACACTCCTGTAGCTGCTGCTTCCTCAGCCACACCCACCAGTGCCTTTGGCCCCCCAAAACTGCCCCTCCCACCACCCACGCGTTCTGTGTCACACATATTAATGCCTGATTATACAAAATGTGTTTCATTATTCATCAGTGGGGAGCTTCTTGAGCCAGAGTGTCCCACACTGTGCCTTTCATTCCGGGGGCCGGCAGAACATCCATCCTCTCAAGCCTGGGGAAGCCTGACCAAGCCAGGGGAGGCCGGAGCTCTCCAGCCATCTGCTTGTGGCCGAATAAAGGGCAGGCAGAGGCTTCTCATCTTCTCATGCCCCTTAGTGTGCCACGTGGACAAGATTACGTTGTATGTGTGCCAAGATGTGACCATGACCAGAAAACTCTGCTCCAACTGCCCCATGAGTGGATGTCCAGTTTCAAACAGGATCATAGCATCTTGAGGTCTTGGACTCAGTGACACTCTTCAGAATCCCCTAGCGCTCAGCTTGGTGGCACTTACTGAATTCCTCCCCAGTTTCCTGTGGGTTTATCAACTCTAACTCTGAGTCCCTGGCCTCAAGGTGGTTCCTCCACAGTGAACAAAGAACGTAGCCTGTTCCCATGGAACTGCTAAACACCAGGCGGAGAAGGGGGAGAGCAACGGAGTGTGAAGCAGTCCACTGCCTGCTCCGGTGGGTACCGCCCACTGCCCCCGAGCAGCCCTGGAGGGGGTACTGTCTGCCTCTGTTCTGCCCCCAGGTCAGGCAGGATCACCTACCTTGGCAAGGAGCACCGTGAAGCCCCCAGCCAGCCAGAGGTTCTGAAAGGGCTGCAGCAGACTCGATGACCAGCTCACACAGAGAAGCGCAGCATCTCAGGTCCTGCAAATGCTTATAACACACAGAAGTCATAAGGGCCAGCAGAGCCTCTCATCTGCCTGCTGCCCATTTCTGGGAGGACAAGCTGGTGAAGGGCTCAGAGGTCAAATGTCTCTCTCTGGCCACTAGGGAGTCTCCTCAGAACATACACTCCACAGCCAGGAGGTGCGGGGTGCCCTGTATCCCATCCACCCCCATCCTCTCGCCACTGAGAACACGAACCCGGCCAGCACAGTCCTCTGGGCATAGCAGGCACCCACAACCATTAATTCCTGCCTACTGTTTCCTTCCAGGCACCCTCATTTTACCACGGGTCACTCAGACCTCTGGTGTGGTCAGCAAACCCGCTCTGAGCAGCCCCAAGGGGCTTGCCAGGAGTGACTGGAGGCTGCACAGCACATCCAGCCCCACAGGGAAGCGGTCCCAGGAGAAGGGAGGGGACATCCTGGGATGATGAAGTAAACCAAAACAAAAGGCACCAGGTTCTAGTTTTGAGGTGGCCGAGGCACTTAAACCCCTGCGTCTCAAACCCCTGCTCTACCTCCCTACAGGGTTGTAGGGAAAGACAGAATAACCAGGCTGGAAGCCCTTAGCAAACTCTGCGTTCTTACATGAAGTGGGCTTACTTTCCCTTGTTCCCCAGCTTCCCTTTGTCGAATAACAGGTGAACTAAACTGGCTCCAGAATTATTCACATTGGGATAATGAAAAGCAGAACAGCATAAAGCTGTAAACTAACTAGGAAACCCAACCCTGTAAGCAAGTAAGAGGCAAGAAAGGAGAGTGGGAGCTCAGCATCTTTTGCAGCGTAACTGAGACTTGCTACATCAGCGGCATAACCGGCCTTAATGACATATTCCCAGAAAAGTGGAAATGCTTTTCAGCGGACATTAGGTTCTACTGTTTTATTCCAAATGACTGTTGGAAAGCGAACCATGCCGGTGTCATTTTGTGATTTCCCTGTTCCCTTTTCTATCCTGCTCCGAAGTGGTAACACAGGCCTCACTGGAGCTCCAGATGGCGCGGGCCCAATGTGGGGAAGAGCCCCGGCCCCATTTTCACCGCCTTCCCCAGCAAACCGCCCTCGGGCCGCCGCGCCCTCCCAGCAGCTCTGTCTCGGGGTGCTCCCCTCCGACCGGGACCCGCCTGGCCCCTGCTGGGCTGGAGGACCCGGGAGAGAGATTCCGCGGGGCGCCTGCGCAACGGCAGCCTTCCATGTGCCCCGCACTCCACAGTGTCCGCAGCCCCCCGCAAGCCCCCGCGAAGCTCACAGCTTCCCTGGGAAGAGGGCCCGGCTGGGGGTGCCCGCCCCACTCCGTGGCTGCAGAAACTTTGGCTCGGAGAGGTGAAGCTGCGGGACCCAGGCCAGAAGGGCGGGGTCCGTGCGGCCGGGGTGTGGTCGGCCTCCACTTTCCGGAGGGCCGCGCGGGCCGGAGGGGCGCTCAAGAAGTCCGGCCGCCCACGGAGGGGCCGCGGGGAGCCGCGCTCGGAAGGAGGGCGAGGACCACGTACCGGCGGCAGCACTATACCGCCCAGCAGCCTGTGCCCCCGGCGCGCTTCCGGGTGCGATCACGTGACCTCTCGCGTCACCGCCCCGCGCGGGAAGGGGCTGGAAGCGGGTGCGGGGTCCGCGGGTTCGAGCCCAGCCTGTGCCCGGCGTCGCGTGTTTCCGCTGGGGCCCTTCGCTCCGCTCGCCCTCCCTGCCCTGTGAGCAGGGACTCCTTCAGTTCCACGGCCGCATTCTTCCCGTCGTCCAGGAGCTCGCGGAGGCCTGCGGAGTTGGGGGCTGCTGCCCGCAGCGGTCAGGTGCACCTGCCTGGGCGCCACCCCCCGCCCCGCCACCACGCCGGCGATTCCCCACCGAGGCACTAGGGACATGTCGGTTTTCACCGCGCTTCACACAGGGGGAAAGCAAGGCCCAGGAAGAAGAAATAATTTGCAGAGGGCCCGAGCCGGGATCAGAGTCCAGGACTCCTGGCTCCCGCGCGGCTCTTTCCCACCCTTTGGCTTTACCTGCTGAACTGCAGTTCCCCTTCGAGAACTGCCCCAAGGTGACTTGATTTCCGTGGCCTGGGGAGAAGACAGCCCCAACAGGGCGGGCTGTCCCCACAGTGCCAACGCTGGAATTCTCTATAAAGATTCTCAATCCATCTGGGAGGCGGGCTGCACATTAGGGGCTTTGTTTAGAACCTGTGCTTTCAAGATTTTCTTAAATTGTGTTATTTAGAGTGGCTGAAGTGTGGGGTTGCTGATGAAGGACATGGAAGGGAGTAAATTCCCTCCCAGATCACCCCTAACCCTTGGTGACTTGGTGCTGCCTGGGGGCTTTGGGCGAGGCTCAGCAGGGGATGAGTTGTGGGGACTGGTGGGACCCAGCAGATTGCACACCCCCTGGGGAAAGACAGGGTCCCAGAATTCATGCCCCCATCACCTGCAGACAAAGCAAGCAACTCTTCCCTTCCCCCCTCCAACTGGTCCCTCCCTCCCTTAGGGCTCACCTTCCAAAGACCCATCTGCTCCACAGGCCTGCTGTAGGCATCGCTCTCTGCAGCCCACACTTGTGATTGGTCTGTCTGTCCGCTCTTCATCCTGCTGTTTTCAGTCACCTTGCTTCCTCTGTCGGACTCTTCATAAGCACGAGTTTTCAGTGGTTGAATAAATTCCATCAGATGGGTATGCTGCCATTCTTCCCTCCGACTGTTAGTAGTTGCCAGTTCCCACCATCATAGTAGGAGGGTCCCAAGGCTCCACATCTGCGTCAACACTTGTTATTGTCTGTTTCTACTTAGCCATCCTAGTGGGTGTGAAGTGATAGCTCCTGATTTCGATTTGTGTTTTCCTAATGACCTATGGTGTTCAGCATCTGTTCATGTGCTTTTTGGCCATTTGTATATCTTCTTTCAAGAAACGGCCATTCAATTCATTTGCCCATTTTAAATTAATTGTCTTTTTATTATCAAATTGTAAGAGTTCTTTATATACTCTGGATACAAGTCCCTTAGTAGATCTATGGTTTACAAATTTTTTCTCCCATTATGTGGTTTGGTTTTTTGCTCTCTAAATGGTATCACTTCTGGCACAAATGTTTTCAACTATGATTTAACCCAATATACCCATTTATAATTCTATCCAGGCTTTTGTGTCAACATAAGTTTTTATTTTACTTGGGTAAATATTTAGGAGTAGGAGAGTGGGGCTGCATGATAAGTAGCTCTATGGTACGAGCTGTAGGGTAAAGTGCCTGCACCTATCCCCCCACCTCCCAGCACTGGGAGTTTTTGCTGCCCTATAGCCTCCTTAGCACTTGACGTTGTCCTTTTATAATTTTAGCCATTCTAGTAAGTGTTGTAGTATCCCACTGGGGTTTGAATTTTCATTTTCCTAATGACTAAAGACGTTGAACTTCTTTTCATGTTGTTATATGCCATGTGTAAAGTGTTCAAATCATTTACCCATTTTAAAATTGGATATTTTAGTTATTATTACTTATATGATTTCTTTAACAGGTATCTTTTTCCTTTTTTTTTTTTTTTTTTTTGCCAGCCTGTGGCTTTGTCTTTTCATTTTCTTTACAGTGACTTTTGAAGAACGGAAATTTTTGTGCTTTTTGTGCCATTGCCTAAATCATCTTTGCCTAAATTCAGGTTCATAAGGATTTCCTCCTGTTTCCCTCCAAAAGTTTTATAGTTTGTTTTGCACTTTAAGTCTATGATCCATTTCACTTGATTTTTGTAGAAAGTGTGAGAGAAATGTTTCTTTTTTTGCATATAGATATCTAATTTTTCTAGCACCATTTGTTGAAAAAAATATCCTTCCTTCATTGAATTACTTTGACACATTTGTCTCGAATAAATTGACTCTAAGTAAGCGGATCTATTTCTGGATTCTCCATTCTGTTCAATAAATTTAGAAGGATTCAGGTCACAGTAAGGATTTTATTGATTTTCTCAAACAGCTTTTGGTTTCAATAATTTTCATTGGTTTTTCTGTTTTTTATTTCACCAGTTTCTGCACTATTTACTATTTCCTTCTGTTTACTTTGGATTTAATTTGTTCTTCTTTTTTTGGTTTCTTAAGGTAGAAACTGACCCATTGATTTGAGACCTTTTGCCTTTTTTTTTTTTCTAACAAGGGATTTGCTGCTATAAATTTCTGCAAGGTACTGGTTTTTCAGGACCCACAACTTTTGATATGTTGTATTTTCATTTTCAGTGAGTTCAAAATGCTTTCTAATTTTTCCTTTGATCATTTTTTGACCTATGGATTATTTAGAAATATGGTATTAATTTCCAACTATTTGATGGTTTTCCAGGTATCCTTCTGTAATTTGTTTCTATTTCATTGCCTATTGGCCAGAGAATATGCTTTGTGTGGCTTGAGTCCTTTTACATTTATTGATGGTCTAGGATATGGTCAATCTTGGTGAATGTTCCAGGTGTACTTGAAAATAATATATATTTTTCTTTTGGTGGGTTGAGTGATCTATAAATGTCAATGAGGCCAAGTTGGTTGATACCCACATTTTAGTCTTCTCTCCTTCATGAATTTCTATGTACTATCCTATCAAATATTGAGATAGTGATATTGAATTCCCTAACTATAATTTTGAATTTGACTAGTTCTCTTCATGGTTCTGCCAGGTTTGACTTCATAAATTTTGAAGCTCTGTTATTTGCTGCATAAACATTATGATTGTTATGTTCTCTTAATGAATTAGCACCTATATCATTATAAAATTACCTTTTAATCTTTGACCCTATTCATTGCGCTAACTCTACTTTGAGAACAGTGTCACCACTACAGCTTTATTTTGATTAGTTAACATGGCATGCGGAAGAGTTTAGGACATGCAGCCCCAAAATATGCCACTTTGATGTTGATTATTGTGAGCTAAGGCAC